CTGAACTTCTAAATGTCTTCCTTCTAACTTTGACATTACACCAATTCCCCCCCAACCCCCGAGCTCTAACTTAACAATGCTGCTTACCTGTACCACTCTAACAAGAGTTTCAGGATATTTCTGAAAGACATCTTGAAAGGCACTTGCTGGAAGTCGCAATATAGTGGAGGGAACAGCTGCTCGGGCTGAGACCGTTTTGTAAGGAGCAGGGTGACCCTAATAGAAAGGTTCAGAGACACAAGGTTAATCCACCAATTACCTGACCCAATTCTTCCCAACCACTTCCCAAATTTCTGGTTTGATACTGTATATGCTTGGCAGACATCATCTGACAAAAAGCCTTGAACCTATGCTCTGTGACCTACAAGTGGTGTAATGAGGGCAGCATGGTCAGGTGAATTCACACCAGCAACTTCACTAGCACTAAACAGACAGAGGTAGAGAAACAAGAGCTACCAGAAGGTGTATCAGGTTAAGGCGAACTGGCTAGTCAGTCACTCCGCTACAGCTTTATTACAGACAAAGCCAGGCTTCAGAAGTGTTTCAACTTCCAGCTACGCAAGACTGCAGAGAAAAGAGGGTTTGTTATTTTTTTATCTGTACTGATGACCAAGCTCTTTGCTGCAATAACAATCATAGACTCACACCATCAGCAAAAAATATAACAAAATTGTATAGTAATTACATACATAACGGAATGAGACAAAAACCAGTCAGAACTCTTGTGTCCCAAGATATATAGATACAGATAGATATACTCCAAACGACAATGCCACACGGCTTCTCTTTAGTTGAGATAAACTGGGTCTAGATCATCCTGAGTTGCTCAAAGAACAGACAGACAGTTAACAAACCAATGAAAGATAAAATTGTAAGCAGGTAGAATACAGAGGTTTCTTTATACTGGAACACAAGCCTCTGGCTTAGAATTTCCCCCCTTCAACCAGAATACATTTTAACAAAAATCTACTGCCAAACACTTTGATTAAAAAAAACTCCAGACAACACCCCTTCTACCCCATTAGTAAAAGAATATCTGTAGGTCACTAATTTCTTTACTAATACATGAAATATGGATTTATCCAATATTTCCAAGACAAAAGGAGTTCTTCCGTGGTGCAGAGCAGGAGCTAAGGAAGAAATGGAGTTTCTACTTTAACAGTCACCTTACAGCTACTGAAGCTTTCATTCCTCCTGAACAGCAGAAGGCAAATTTTTCCAAACACTAAACACACAGACGCTAAAGGCAGAAACAAAAAAAACTTGCAAGTCTTCCAGAGCAACTGACAACTAAACAATCACTGCAAAAGAATTTCTGCCTAAAGAACACAGCAAAGGCAAACAAGATACCTTCAGTACAACTAGAACCACTCTGGAAAATAAAGCCACCGCTCTGCCTGCCTGCTGGTCTGGAAGTCACGACGAAGCAGATTCTAAAATTAAATTAAATTAATTGGAACCAATTTCTAATTACACCAACTTCAGCTGACCTTTTTATAAAATCTGGGGGATGATATTAATAACTCTGATGTTCAAGTTCCTGAGAGGTTTGAAATTTTAAACATCTCTGACCTACAGTGCAAAGCTACCAGGCGTCCTCAGTTTTCCTGTTTCTTTTAATTAAGTAAAGAAATTAACAAGTGACATTCCTGTGCTTTTGCTGTACCTAAAAATAAATGCAATATTCTTCTTTTATAGGCCAGTTTAAAGCCTGGTTTTAGACAAAGAAATCACTTGGAATATTCCTTATTAAAAAAAAAAAAAAAAAAAAAAACATATGTAAAAGAAAACACATATAGTCTGCTTTTAAGTACATACATCTCTATACTCGCCATCAACTGCATTTCCGATCAATCTCTACACCAAATACATAGTGAAAAACTAAGGAAATTATTAAATCTCTAGTCGCTGGACAAAGGATAAGCATTAAGTGCAATAATGTTCCATAACAGTTATTCAAAAGGGCAAAATAAGCCCTGTTTACCACGTTTATATGGTCTACACTCTACCCAGCAAAGTGTTTGGGTTTTTTCTGAACAGTATTTGTCTGAGGATAGACCAACGCTGACAGTCTCTCAGAAAACCAGTTTTAGGATAATAACGGATAATAATGCAGCAGTCTTTTTCTCCAAAGAACAGCCCATCCCTCCATCTTTTCAGCATATAATTTTTCCTTTTCAAAATCCCTGCGTGAGAGCAGCCTGCTTTTGAAAGGGCCAACCACCGTATCTAACTGGTTTGGAACATGCTAAAAGCTGTCAGGGGAATGCAAAGAAGAAATGTTCCCATAATTGTCAGTTCTCTCAAATATAATGTAATCAGGGGCACATGGAGAACACCATGTTTAAATTAAACTATTTTACAGTCACACTCTGAGGTCACAAGGAACCGTTAAATTATAATCAGTAGTGAACCAGGGTATTTTCAACAGAGAACTTTTTGTTCTCAACACAGGTAACTATTCCGTCTTGTTCTAAGAGCTGCGGAATAATTAAACACTGTAGGTGACAAATGTCACAGCTAAAGCAGTAGTTGAATCCAAATGACAGCTAATGGCCTGATCCAAATGAATTTTGTTAAGAAATCTGCTACAAGAGGCACAGGTGCCTCACGTTCTCCCACCTGCAGTGGTAGCTCCTTTTCATACCCCAAAAATCTGGCCTATTCTCCCTATTCCCATTGCTTGGATTTTGTCTTCCTCTGCTCCCACCTGCCACCCTCTGCACTGCACCGACACTGCTGCCCCCCGAAGTTCTTGCAGCAATTAATCGCTTTAGAACCTCGTCTACCTTGTCCACTGCCATTTAGACAGACGAGCCCTGCAGGCTCACCTTCTCCAAGTGGTTTTTTTCAGCTGCTTTTAATCCTCAGACTTTCATTGTTTTCCCCTCAGTCACCGGCAATTGATCAATATTCCTCCCAGTCTCTTCTTCCTCATTCCAACTACACCACCTGCTCACAGCTTTCCAAACACCATCTCCACGTGGAGGACAAATGAAGAGCAAAACCCAAAGCTCTAGCAATCAGCATCAAACACCATCTCTATTTGTCCCATTTAACTCTGAATGAAAATTCACCATTCAGGAAAAAGATCTGACTGCGCCCTCAGCAACAGCTCCTGAAAACCCTCGTGTGGGCACCAACAACGGTGAGTTCAGAGACTTCTTTAATATTTGAGGCAGCATCAATTCAGTGTCAGATTAACTACAACACAGAATTGTTCCAAAATACCAGGACAGGGTTAGCATCTACTTGGATTCAAAAGCCTCCAATTTCTCCTTCAAGTTTTAAGAAAGCAGCATATTTGTTCTCAGAATAAGTGAAATACAGACCAAGTCTCTTTCTTACACCACAGCTGGTATCTTTGTATTTAGTACAGCTAAGGGGACTTTTCAATTTTAAAAACTGGAAAATTACATTAGAAACTACCTCTGGTGTGGCCTTTCTTTTAGATCCAACAAGAGGCTGCCACTTCTTGCAGCAACCTCAGTTTCCTTGCGCATCTCCCAACCAAGCGAGGGACCGGCCTGACATTATGTGTTGCAAAATCAGTCGAAGGAATGACAAATTCAGCTCAGGCAACTCAAATCCTCCCTGAATACATTCTTTCTTCACGTCAGATCCATGTGCTTGGTGGTACAGTAAAACTTAATTAAAGGTATGGTATCTGCAAGAAGTTCTAAGACTCATTCACTAATTTGGAAGGCCACTGAGAAGTCTCCTCTATTTTAATCAACGCCAATTTTTTCTCTCCTTGCCCATTTTCATGCTACTCCTATAACAAAGTCGGCATAGAACATAAGGAAGAGGAAAAACAGAAATAAAACCACCAGTTCACAAAGCTGAGGAACAAGGGAGAAGAGAGTTGTAAAAATAAATGAGAAAAAGTTACTTTAGCAAAAAAATTTGCAAGATTTTTGGTTCTATACTCTTCTGCACGCTGATAACTCTTTTCAACACAGTTTCAATAATTTTTGTTTTCTTATTTACCAATGGTACAAGTAATGAGAAAGAGAAAAAAAATTATAGAATGAGAATTAAAAAAAAACACAAACCCACAAACAAAAACCAACCATGTCCACAACACAAAATGAATGGTGGCCACCCTTTAAAAAACAAACAAACAAACAAAAAAAAAAACATAAAACCACAAACTATTGTTACATAAGAAGGATTTCTTCCTGTTTATTCAAAACAAATATAGGAAGAGAACATGACTGGTATTCATGTTCCTATAGGATGGTCCTGCCCTTCAGAATATTTTCATTCAGAAAATTTACTGGTGGAAGTAACAAGGGCAAAGACACCGCTCAATATACTATTAATATGGATTTGACAGCAAGAACCCATCTTGTACAGTCCAAATTATTCACGTGCCACTACTTTCCACAGAAGAAAGCATGACATAGCTTAAAAATTGTTTATCACTTTTGATAGGTTTTATGGAAATTAGAGATATACGACACATGCCTGCATCTAGAAGTGGCAAAGAACACTTAACAGAATCATTAAAACCACTCACACACAGAATAACAGTACCTTCAATGAAAGGGGGCAGCCAAGCACAAGAGAAACATGATACAAAGTCAAATATGAACAACTTCTTCATTAGATTATCTTCATCCTCTCAACTACCAAAAACCTTCAAGTAAGCACTTTAAGCGCTTGCATGTTATCAAAGATGATGAATTCACCACCTTCAGTTTAGGTATTCCTAAACAGATGCACTGTGACAGTCTTAGCAAAACAATTGTTGTAATCCCAACCAAAACAAAACCCACACCACTGATTTGCGCAATAAATACAACCAGCTAGCATTTAGCTCATCTTGTCACCTGCCAAAGAGCACAACCTTCAGATGGTCACCAGCAACATTAACACATTAGGAAAAAATTAAACCCAGCAACTGGTTTCACAGTATAATTACAGTAATAACAACCGTCAGATTTAATTTTGTTAGATTAAAAACCAAACCAATTCAGTAAGCAACAAACCAGTGTAAAAGCCTGGACTTCTGGGCCCTAACCTGGTCCTCCTCCTGACTGCTTTGTGACCTTGAGCAAGTCAAACCACAGCTCAGTTTTCCAGCCATAAAAGAACAATTCAAATCCCACTGCTTATCAGAAATAGCCAGTGTCACACTGCCAAGCGCACACATTTCACAACCAATTTATGCACCACAGAGCTAAGTTTACAGCTGTGAAGGCCTGGGAAGGGGCAAAGAATTGGTCAAGGAAACATCTTCCATTCTGACTCTTTCCTAGCAATATCCTAAGTCTACCTCCCCCGACAGGCCCTGTGACACAAAGCAGCACTGCAGGAAACCTGCCCGTTCAAGAACTTACCGTGATAACATCAAGAATGCTGAGAAGGCTGTGGACACTGTCTCCAGCCAGCACCTCCTTGACAACCACCTCTGTTCCATCCTGCAAGGTAGGGTAGAGGATTACTGCAGGCTCAGAGTGGCGTATCTGGCACACGTGCAGCGTTGCAGAAAGCTTCACTTGCTCTCATTCTCCCAGACACTCTGAGCAGCCCTAAGAGAAATGGTCCCCCATTATAACTTGGATGCTTGTTTTCTCCCTACTCTGAAGGAAACGGGTTAATTCAAACCACCAAAGTTTTAAACCACCATTCTAAAAGTGATAAATTAAAAGAAACTGAAAGACAGTTTTGTCTAGGGGGAAATGTGATCTGCTTGGCTTTGCTATGCAACAACCAAATAAAAAAAAAAAAGCTTCCTTCACTCTGAGACAGAATTAGCTCCATTTGTCAAGGGATTACATGCCAAGAGGCAGTAAAAAACAAAGAACAGCAGAATGAAAAAACATACAGAAATCAGCAAATTTGGGATGATGTACAAATACCAGCCCCCAGCATTTTCAGCCATCAGAAAACTGTTCACATGTTAAAGCTAAGCTCAGAAGTTCAGTCAGGAAGACAGGAAAAGAAATAATCTAAACTGGCAGAAGGGATTATAAGGGCCAGCACTCATTTTAAGACTCACCCATAAAACAAGCCACCATTTTTTCTCCCTGTCTACCCGAAAGCGAATCTGAATCTTCCATCTCCCCTACAAACCCAGTAACCACCACGCCACAATATTACGGAGTGCACCTGGTCCCTCCGGCTCCGTATACCTATTTTGTATAACTGCCATCCAAAAGAATGTTTCCCGTGCTACACAAAGCCCATCTGGCAGCCTGTCCTCCCTCAATTAACTATGCAACTAGAGTACGTGAGGACGTTTCAGAACGCCTGATCAGCGTTGTGTTTCGCTCCCTCATCTAAGACATGGGGGACCACAACTTAAAACCTTCATCTTTACAAATACCACGGCCCTGAAGGATTGGAATTAATCCTAAATCAGTAAGATTCAAATGTCTAAGTTCAATCAATGCTTAATGATTCCTGGCAACCTATATGCTACGCCAACAGACTTGTCTCAAGAAGCACAGATCAGCTGATTCTTACACTCTCTTGAATGCAGACTTCCAGCTTGCCATCCTGCACAACGTAGATGCTGTTGTCCAGCTGCCCAGGCCGAAAGATGTATTCGCCTTCATGCAACTGCACAAAAAACATGTGCTTGCACAGCTCCAGGAAAAGGGGTTTCTCAAAGTGCCCAAGGACCCTGCAGGAAAGAAAATGCAAAGGGAAACCTAAAATCACCACTGTCCTTGGAAAATCCTTCCTAAATTAGTAAAGCCCCCAGGCACGAACAGCAGGGGAACCCCCGAGCCAGTGGGTGCCTGGCAGTCCAACAGCACAGCAGAAGGAGCAGAATTCCCCAGGACAGAAGGGCAAGAGTACAGTGAAACACTGAAAACTGTAAATACTGGAGTTTGGTTTTGCGTAGCACTCCGAGCAGTGCCAGCGCCAGCAGGCCCAGAAGGAGGTGTATCCAGTCTTCCTCAAGCAAACACCAGCATGGCTTTTGAAGAGGAAGAAATATAACAACCTGCAAGATTCAGCCATTGCATGAGAAAAGTTGCCCTATGGAACTTTCCCTTTTAGTACATTTACCCTGTCCAGGTAACCAGATCACACGAGGAATACTGAAAACAAAGGGAAAAATTCCTGCCAGCTGCACGTACTGGTAAGTTTGGAATATTCCGCCTCCTGCAGGTATCGTACAACTGGACTCCTTCGATACTGAAACTAGCCCATGACTACCAGGCAGACAGAAAGACGCTTCTTAAACCTGATCACTGAGTGCACAGCGTCAGAAGGGCCCTCGCCATAGCTCCTTTAGCTCACATTTAACAGGATCAATCAATCAAATTCTACTGCAACATCAATTAGTCACAGCAGATCATAATTCCACAGAAGAACATTTAGATGATTCAAATAGCAGTTTTACTAAGAGTATGTATGACCTTCAGGACTGAATTATACCATAACTGGGAGAAAAATGAACATACACAAACAAAACCAAAATTACAGATCGGGAGATCTCATCCTCTTCGCTGTGTCAGCAAATTTAACCCCTTGCTGAAGGGACACAAAGATCATCCCTTTTTCTCAACCCACCAAAGATCTGTGGGGATTAAGTTGACTTCGATTCCATTTGCAACCTTTTTAGCCAGAGAAGTAAAAGATTTTCTGCCATTTACAGAGTTGCCAATTATGACGTTTTTCTGTAACAAAAAGTTGTCTGACACAGTCTAAAGGGAATTTTTAAAATACACTAACAGAGATCTGGTCGTGTTAGAACAGTTTTATTATCACTACCCCCGAATTTAGGCTAGCAGTCTACGTCCTCTTTTGTCCCCTCTTTTTTTTCTTGAAAATGCACTCAACCATTTTCTTAACATTTCTAGAAAATTAGAAGTCATTTATTCTCTCCTCATGCGCAGATGAATTTTCAGTCAACTGCTTAAAGATTCTGACCACGCATTGACAAAATTTAAGACTTAACCCAAACACTTGAATATCCAAACTTATTTTTCCATTTAACATTACCTAACATTTTTAAGCATGTACAGGACTTCTGATGGCAAATGGGAATTCTTTACATCAAATTCAGTCAGATCTGCCTCTAGCAAAGAGGGAGGTGGTTCTTTTGGCTGCAGAGTCGGACATTCCTTCTTAATACGCAGAATCCTACAAAGAAAAACACAAGTCAGAAAGTTCTGGGAGTCTCCTCATTGGTCTCAAGGGCCCGTACACTGACACCGCGGGTCGATGGCGGTACTAAATGCACACCGTGCCAAGCCACGCGTTACCAATCAGATAAAACAGCAGCATTCCACCCTCCTGCCTTTCTTCAGCAAAACTAGAGACAGTGCCGCCTGCATAAACCCCTCCGTTCCGGCAAACTTCCAGCAAAAAGCCCGACTGATGCACAGCCGACAGGACTGTGAAAAAAAGAGCAGCCACGGAAAAGCGCTGTTCTAGGAATAGGTTCCACAGCACAAACAGAAAACCCCAAAACCAGCCTCCTCGGCGTGAATTTTCCCCTTCCCAAAAGCCCAAGTACCTTTTAGCCAAAGACAAAACCTTTGCTCGCTTCCGCATCCTTTGGCGAGGCACAGTGTTCCCAACCAGAGTGTTGGGAAGAGTTGTAACCTAGGAGGAACCAATGAAAACAACAACATTTACTAAAAACCAAAACAAAGCAAAAATCCAACCCCCTAGTTCCAACCTGGCAAAGGCTCCGACTCTTCTACCAAGTCATTAGAACATGAGCAGAATGGAGCACTGAGGAAGACCCTGGAGGACTGGAACAAGATCTGTTTCTTTCTCAAAAGCAGTGGAGCATCCTAATGGATTTGACTAAGCAACCACCACAGCGGTACTGCAGGGCAGAGGGGCAAACCCCTCAGCTGTACAGCTCTCACTCAGGAACACTCCACATCAGGCAGACAAGTAACATCTAAAGCTCCAGCACTCCCAGGGCAGTCTGTGATGCTGACAAACTAGGGCCTGGTTATCTTTGAGCTGGTGAGAAACACCACCACGGACTCGCAGCCAGGCCTTTACTGGTTTTTGATGGTTACCAAGTGCCACCTTCCGGAGAAATGCAACAACTGCAAGACCAGGAAAACCTCATTAGTTACTGACAAAACATTACTAGCTCTCTGTTTGTTTCAAAGAGTTGAATCCCACGAAAAAGTTTCTCTCACAAAATAAATCTTTAATTAGTTTGGAGGCTTTTTTTTTCCTGAAAGTAAAATCTTGGTATTTTATCAAAAATACATGAAGTACAATCAACAGCAGCGAGTTTGTAATATTCCATGTCTTATTCTGGAACAAAAGCAAAAAGCAAGGTCTAAAACCCCAAACCAAAACCTATCTGATTTTACCATATGGAATCCTAAGCATTCTTAACTCCTGTGTGTTACATACAAACAGCTGTGTTAAAGAATATTAAAATTATGAAGTTGGTGGCAACACACACTATTCCTTTCACTGAGGGCTTTTTTGGCCAAGTTCTATGTCAATGCTGATCTGCAATGCAAAAGCAAGGTTCAGGGAGCCATCTCCTCCCTCCACACTGAAACAAAGCTCCAGAACTGAACACGAAAACCAGTGCAGCGTCTAACGAAGTCCAAGCACTTGAATTCACCTCATCCAAGTTCAGCAGCGCCTGAGGCTGAAGGCTGCAGCAGCTCACAAGAGGAGTGTTCCTCAACAAGCAGCGACCAACAGCGCAAGGTTACTTACCTGTACCTTGCTTTTCTACAGAGGCCGGTTTTCAGCGCCCTGGCGAGGGGAGCGCCCAGCAGGGCTCCAGGTCAGCCCACGGGGCATGGCTAGGACCCCCCTCAGCCACGCTCTGCCTTTGGTCCTAAAAGAGGCCAGTCCCATTCCTGCCTCACAGCTCCCCAGGGTCAGGGAGCCCACCGGACCCACACCCTGGTTCTGACTCTTCAGGACAGAGGGCAGGGAGCGCCCACGGCAGTCAGGGTGAAATAGCCTTTCTCCTTCACCAGCCATTCGCAGCTACCATCACTCACTCAACAGATGGAAGCAAACGTTTATTGCTTGCTTCTCCGAAAAGGGCTCAGAGCCCCCACCTGAGTAAGAGGCAGCTTTCCAAAGTCAGGCTTTATCAACAGCATCATATACACTAAAACTGCACATGGAGGTCCAAGAAGCTGCTAGATAAATTCTGGTATGGGAAGCACTGAGTAAGGAAGTCACCTCAACCTCCAGGACATACGGCACAAGCTTGTAGCACAACCAAAGGCAACACCTCTGCGCTGACAGAGCCACTCATGACACGTCTGAAAAGATGGTGGTCCTGTCAGGCAGAAAAAAACCCACATGAACCTCACATTCCGCACACCCTAAGCAGCTTCAAGGGAAGCATGTATCTTGAGGAGAAAGATAGGAAGATTACTCTCCTCAGTTAAATGAAATCCAGCAATCAGGGCGGAACACCTAGGATATCTGCTAAGATTAACCTAATCCATTAAAGGAAATGTCTATCTGCAGATTTCCTCAAGCCTTCTTGTTGCAGTTTCGCAAGAAAAGCCACTTGCAAAGATAAAAGTGGAAAAAGAAACCCCTCAAACAACAGAAAACAAAAAAAAAGAAGTAAATATCAAACAGGCAGCCATAGCCTTGAAGGATTTAACCAACGGATGGAGAAACAGATTCCTGACTGATGGAAAATCCTTGAGGAGACCTTTCAGAGTAACAGGACAGGAGCCTGAGGACAGGAACCTGAGGACACAGGTGGGACTCCTTGCGACAACCCAAGGCAAAGAGGTCAATCTTGGGATAAACCCCTCTCGATCAGTCTCTAATGAGACAGTCTGACAAGCCTCATTTGCAATTCAGCACAAGAAAACAAGGGCTCCTACGCTGAAGTGTTAGTGCCCTGCACAGGCAAACCACAGAAAGGTAAATTCGAGCATCTGCTCCGCAGACAGACTCACACCGGAAAGAAAGTGTCAGCTTTGAATGTAATGGCAGTGCTGGAAGTCACCATCTGAAAAGGGCAACCCTGAATATACACACTGAATATCTTGAATACAATCAAAACCACTGAGAAAGACAGATTACTACAGATATTTAAACAATCAGCTCCATAGAGGAGTTAGATATTCATCGATTTATTACTCCTCTCACGGTCTACAAACATTCTTGAAAGAGGTAAGGTTTGGCCAGAAAGAGAAGCTCTTGCTGCCCCACCACCAGTTCAGGCAGAATTCCAGGAGTTCTGAAACATCCCCCAAAACTCCCATGAAATTTTGTAGGTTGAAGGCCCCGGGCCAGGCTAAGCAAGTAAAGTCTTGCAAAGTTCACACCACCTCCTGAACTGGATTTTAATCGTTACTTCCCTCCCACCGAGCCAGAGGCACTTACCTTTCTCATGATCTTCCGCCCATAGAACAACACTTTGTCTCTCTTGCGAAACCTGTACTGAGGCACATGTGGCTGAAGTTGTTCTGAAAGGAAGAAGCGTCACATCAGAAACCACCGGCAGCTCCGCGCGAGGGGAACGACAGCTGAGCCCATCGGGCCACCTCCCCAGCTGCTGTGGCCCCTGTCTGTACGCAGCAAGCTCTTGCGGCCAGTGTTTGGAATTTAAACCAACACAAGATACCTCATTAGCCGAGCCAGACTAGGGAAGAGCTGGCTTGAGGCTCTACCTAATCACCAGAGGAGATAAAAAGGCTCCCTAAACAGATAAAAGGATCAGGTTCATTTTTAATCTCACAAAGGAAACCTCCAATTCACCCATTTCTCATTACTGTAACAGTGAAATCGCAGCAGGGTTGAAATTATTTGCATGTCAACTGATACTAAGGCTGTCGTACACTAGAAGAAAATAAAAAACCTCCAGCGTCCTGCGCATGACAGTTAAGAATTCTACGTTCAGACCTAGGTAAGGGAACCAACACAAGTTCTCCGACCTTTTAAAGCTGTTTTCCTGCAAGAGCCACTACCTTCACAGCAAGCAATTACTACGAATCGGCACAGAATCTACCACATATTGTTACATTAATGTTGAAGATAGCTCAGGAAACCGGTTTTAAAACATACATAGTTACTGAGTACTTACTAGATTGTTTCACTCTTCTGTAAACAACAAACACAACTGCGATAAGCAGCAACGCGACTGCCGCCCCAATTGCAATTCCGGTCAGCTGCGAGAGAAATTCAGGGGGGAAAGAAGTTAGTAACTTCTCAAGTTGGTAATTATTAAGTACTTTTTGGAGGGCTGAAGAACACTTAGCACAGTAAGATGTCGCACAGTCAAGCACACTTTTAATTAAAACATCACACACAAGAAGTTTGAACTACATCAGCATCTCACTCACAAGCTCACATGCAAAATATTCAGCATTTTTCCTCCCAAAGATCCGTGAGCTGATCAACTCCATGTACGTGAGATGAAATAACAGGAATGAATTCCTGCCTCATGCACAGCGAGAGCAAAGAAACACACGCCCAGACTGCGACTGTGACTTAGCAGGGTTCCGGAATCACGAGGAGCTACACACACTTTCTGCACACACCACCCTTCAGCCGGTTGATTAAAGCCATACATTACCATAGTCGTCTGTATTCTGTCTTCTACAAACTGACGAATTGCTGTTCCACCTGCTGGTAACACAGCCTAGTGCCAAAAGGAAGGTGAAATTAGTTTCCCACAACTGGCAAAAAGCCTCCACCAAACCATCTCCATGCCTGGTCTGCACACACAACACAACTTGACTGTTCTCCAACACCTTCCTTGCAACTCTGGCCCACTTTGCAAACACAAGACGTTCAGTGGAGAGGGGTCACTAGTGGTGTTTTGCACTGGTGTCAGTTCAAGGCATTCCTAAATAGTCCTAAAACAGGGTCAAACAGCGAGGTGATAGCTTTTTTCTGATGATCCTATGTTATTCAGAGGAACAAGGATGAGAACTGAATGTAAAGGACTTTATGAGACTGAGAAAACAAATCATGAAACAGCAGATTAAATTCATCATAAAAAGAAAATCATGCACATGGGAAAAAGCTCTAACCTCAGGTGTCCTGGGACCTGTGCCAACTATTGCGTTCAGGAAAAAAATCTGGCAAACAGCCTCACAAATGCCAGCACAAAACTTACAAGAACAGGGGGAAAAAGCAGAGCAGGTATTAGGAACACGCAGGAAAGCAACCCAGAACAAGAACAGATACGTCCCCCTGTAAGTCTTCAACCTTTCAAGTACTTGAATCTTAAGCGCTACTTGCAGTTCTGGTCCCAGTTCTGGATGGCCTCTAATTTAGCTTTGCCACCGAGAGAAAAATGAAGGGCACGCCGAGAGTCACCAAACTAGTCTCCCTCGCAAAATTTGTTCCAGTTCTACAGCGCAAATAAGAATCCCGCCTGACCAGTCAACTCCAACAGATCGCCGGCTTCGGTTTGTCCTCTCAGGCTGCTGTAATGCAGCACACCGACAATTCATCTTCCCAACAGGAGTCAAACTAACTCTACTGCTATTATTATCAGACTGTTACTAGTGGGATTGTAGGGGAAAGTCAGAAGAATTTGGGGGAAAAAAAAAGTTGAAAATTTGTTAGCAACAAATAACAACAGATTCTGGTAAAATACAGCGAGTTCTTGGTGTAAGTCCATTGTGGTCGCTTAATTTATTTCCCCTTGATGGTGTCCGCGACACACACAGTTCTGCTGCTATCCAGGCCTGCGTGATCTCAAGTGACATCATTACAGCAGTCGCCAACTGACAGTCACATTGCTGCTACATGAGGAGAAACGAATTCTTGAGCAAAGGCAAAGTAAAACTCATGTGGACAGACTGAGCCCTCGTGCCTCAATACAGACAAACAATGAGGGAAAGAAGAAATTCAGACCTCCAAGAAAAACTGAGAGGTTCCCGCAAGGTTTCTCACAAACACCAGTGAAAACATGATACTCCCCCCACGTGCCTGGCGGGGTATCTGTTCAAGCACAGACAATCCTTCTACGAGTGCAAGGACTTCCCAGGAGCCCTACACAGCCTCGCACAAATCTCAGACACCAAACAGATGCAGAACGACGCTGACAAGACCCTCACTTCCTTGGAAAACGGAGCAATGACGGGCTAAGAGCACGTATGAGCATAAACAGCATTTATTTTCCAATGATGCTGAGATGTCATTAAGAAAATGGGAAGGAAAAGTAATTAACATAAATACACAGCTACATCAGTAATGCCCACGCTCATCCAGAGCGCCAAGCACGGAACAAGCAGCTCTGCTGAGAGTTTAACTACTTCACATCGCAGTCGAAGGTAAACAGTGAGACATGCCCCGGTCAGGGAAGGGTGGCAAATGCTTATCAGAGCCGAAAGTGAGGCCTTAAAATGAGGCTTGCCCCAAACATCAGGCTTCCTGGTAGCTCGTAAGCACACGGGTCCACGTGCCCACGCTCTGACTACAGATACCGGATTTTCACAAAACATTTTTTAACTGCGTACGAGTAGGCTGGATGTAATTTTTAGGTCTGAGAAGAACTATGTCCTGCCATGGGCCTTGTCTTTCACAACTATGAGTTTCGTATCTGTGATTAAGAACAAACACAAGCAGAGCCAGCTGCCAATTGTGCGATTCTTCCGTCTGCAGGCTAAAAACGTACTGTTGAAGCAAAAGGCACTTAAATCCTACCATTTTGCTAACAGCTTGGAATATGAAGCAGAGTGTGAATGGTTTGCAGAAAAAAAATAATAAAAACATATACAAAAAACCAGGACCAATCTTGAAATTTTTGGAAGGATAAAACTCTCATCAGGACAGGTTCTTCCAAAGTAAAAGCACTGCATCTAAAGACACGACCCAAAGATTAGGCACAGCAGCTTTCAACTTCTAGAAATACTAATAGGGAAATAAATACATCCAAAAACGACAGCAAAGCATGTTGTACCTCAAAGCTGGTGCTGTTGCCTTCTTCACTCATGTCTGCAGGTACAGCGGGAGCAAAACTAAAACGAGAGAAGACCGAGTTAGGAGAGGACCGAGTTACACTGTATTCCAAAGTCTTTTTAACTCCGCAGCACTAAGTGAACCCGAGCTGCTCTTCCAGAACAAGTCAATTCAAGGGGAACTTTTTATTTTTGACTTCATTGTCCCTTTTTTTCTGCGTTGAGCAACAAATCCAGCCAGCCCTCACAGAGAAGCAGAGCTACTGGTCACGACAGCTGCCGAAGTGCTCTGGGAAGCGACGGGACGGGACCTCCCTGAGCCCCCCAGAACCCGGCCGCTCCCTGCCCCCCCTTACCGACACCCCGCCGCGGACACGGGGACCGCAGCGGTGAGCCCCTCGGGGCGGGGCAGCCCCCCGGGGCAC